ATCCTAAGGTTGTTAGCAGGTAAAATTAATAAACCTGATGAAAAAATCCTTGGGGTTCATTCTTGACAACATAGATTGAAGACCATCCACTTAGGCTAGTTTTTGTTTGCCCGTTTGTTTGTCATACGTGTCTAATGTTTATTTGCACTGATGAGTGTTCTAATACTTGAATAGAAAACAGAAATACAGATGTTGTGTGAAACTTCAGAATGGTTGAGGCATAGATAATTCCAAGACAAATGCTTCTGTGGGTGTTTTGTGATGGCTGTTAAGGGGTTTGAGTATTTGACAATGCTGCCATGAATGACCTGGTACTTGTTAAAAACAAACAGCATCACCCAGAGGTCTTCCAGTAGAGATTCAGATTCAACGTGTCTGAACTACATCCTGATGTACCTATTGGAATTGCCCACTAAGTGTTTCCTACTAAAGATTTAAAGGCATGGGCATATAGTTTCTATTCTAATCATTAGAAACTGAAAGGCGATGGGAAGGGCAGCAGCTTATGCAGGATCTCATAGGCAGATGTGGAGAGTGTCCCATCCTCTGTGAAATGTCGCTTTCTAAGTGTCTCCATTTCAGCATAACACATGATCTCTCACAAAGCATGCCTCAGCACTGAGCTAGGACTGACCAGTGCCTAGATGTTTTCATCATGCTTCATGGTTATATATGCTGCTTCCTAATCACAGACATTAAGAAGCATGGTACTTATGCATTGAAAGAATCTTAGAAATCACAGTCTAAGGTTCGGTGAGAGACTGCGTCCCTCATTGTAGTGTGACCGCTGCAGCTAGTGCACTGAATGATGTCTGTGGAAGTGACTGGGTCTCAGTGAGATCCTCAGTCCTTTCAGTATGTCCACTGGTGAACTGAGTGAGCTGTGAAATGAGCCCATGCTTTCCAAAGCCAGAGGAGCGCCCTGGAAATGAAATTGCCTTTGCCTCAATGCCTCCCGCCGCAAAGACCTCCATCTCAGTCACAGTTCGCTAACATTCACCTTTTAAATAATCACTTCCAAAGCCACCCCTGGCTTTGAATAGCTTTCTAAGTAATAATCAGCCGTTGCACTTATTAGACTTATGACAATGAGGGCTCTTCTGTGTGTTCTTGATGTTAATAGACCTTTTATTGTAATATGCAGGCTTTTAAGAAATAGCAAAGGCTGATTGCTCTGAAAAGTATCATCATAGTGGCCACGTGACTGCATCTTTGCTGTAAAAACTAAAAAGCTATAATGCTACAAGAATGTGTTGACTCATGAAATGCTGCGTCTGTCTGGTTCCATGTCAATGAGGTAGCCAGTTCTCTCTCTCTCTCTCTCTCTCTCTCTCTCTCTCTCTCTCTCTCTCTCTCTCTCTCTCTCTCTCTCTCTTTCTCTCTCTCTCTCTCTCTCACTTCAGTGAATTTCTGAAAGTAGTGTGGTTTTCTACTCAGCTGACAAACATAACTTATAAATTTTTCCAATTCAGGTCACATATACCTGTCTCGTATATAACCCATACAAAATATTCTACATTTGACTGTGTTATAATGGACATAATGACTGATAACTCATATAGAGTTTTGGATATATGTCCTACCATGGACCTCCAGTTTCAATTTGCTAATTTCATGTATCTCCTATGATCTTTTGTTTCCATATTGAAATCATTTCCAAGGCATTATTGCCATAATTATTCAAACTAGTCAATTTATACTATGATATCTATCACTTCATTGTCCTAGGGCAATTAGAATGTCATTGTTTTTTTTCCCACAGTACCAAGTGAAACATGTTTTAAAAATTACTAATGTCACATGGGAATTTAATTTTATAACATATTTAAATGATGATTATCACAAATATATTCAACTTTGGCTTTTAGTGTGATTTTTTTAGTAAGAAAATATTTGCTTAGGGGCTTGAATGGTGGCTCAGCCAGGACAGTGCCTTCTGTGTAAGCAGGACAATCAAGTGCACATCACAAGCATCCATGTGAAATCTGGATGGGAAAGTGCACATTTGTGCACCAGCACTGGGGTGGTCCAGCCTGCCTCACCCAATCCATGGACTCATGTTTCAGTGAGAGGTTGTCTCAGGAAATAAGATACATAGCCAAGGCGCTTATCCCCATGTTCAGTAGGTAAAACACTGCAAAAATACCACTGCTCCTAAAGGATAGCAGACAAACAAAGAGTGAATTTCCCTTCTGGACACCAAGTTTTCCCGGTCTGTTGTTTTTGTTTCACCTATTCAATCACAAACAATTCTTCCATTTGAACAGACTTTGGGTGTTGAACAGTGGCAATGCATGCTGTCTTAAGTCCCCAGTCTTAAGGATATAGTACATAGTGAATCCTCATATTCTTGAAGGTTTCCTATGTTCCCAGTGGTTTCACAAAGACTTTTTGGTATTTATTTCTCAATTAAATTTGAAAGGTTAAAAAAGATGAGAGAGGAAGATTCCTAATGTGGACCACTTCCTCCGCATGTGTAGGCACTCCTAAATGCATCTGTACACACGTGTATACAACCACACACAAGAGAGACAGAGACAGACACAGAAAGAGAGAGAAGAATTTTTAAGTTTTACATTTGCATGGATACTCAAATAGTATGTCTGAAACCATGCTGTGATTTATTAAGGCATTATTCCTATAAAAATAATCATTTAGTTTACTAATATAGTGTCTCCCTATTGAGCCAGGTTTTCATTGTTTTTGATAGTCTCATTTTCTCTCTGGATCACATGAACACAATGCACTTTCCTGACAATCTTGTGTTAAGAAAAGCAGGCTGCTCTTTTAATGATACAAACTCCTCTATTTACTGTCCATCAGCACTGGACAAAAACACTTCATTGCAGACTGAAAATTTTTAAAGTCATATGCAGATTGATGTAGTTTGAAGCAGGATGTGTTATTCTTTATTTTAGCAGCAATTCCAACTCTAGCAGACTTCTCTTTCTGCTTGGTTGGCCAAGCAGACTACCTGTGTCCTACTTGAGAGTCTGCCTGCTTCAGGCTGATCCCTGACCTCCATCTAGAGCCTTCCCATCACCAAGAACGTGTGGAAAGGGGCCCAGCCCCATGTCGCCTTGCTTCACAGCAGTGCTTTGATTATCTACGAGCTGTAAATGACTTTTCCAAATTAGGCTAAAAAAGTTTCCCAAATATTCCATTCTATTATTCCCTCTAGCCATTGTCCCAGTTTGCTTCTTTCTCTTCACAAAGTTATAGAATAAGCTAACTTGGAAATGATTGCATTTTATCAGTATCCATGTAGATATTCAAATGTATTTCTCCCCACCTCAATGTCCTAGAAATGTGCAGAACTACAGTTGTTCCAAAGACCCCTTTCTTGGCTTTAAAAATTATATGTAATCATTATTCAAAACCTTCAGATGCAAAAAATTATAAATGTATGTAACATTATGGCCTCAAAACATGAATATTATGCTTTATTTGCTTTTAGTCATTTTTTTGTGTGTGATCAAAACACAGCAGCATTTCCTTAGCCCCGAAACTCTCTTGGAAAACAGTTCTTGATATCATCATTGCTAGTTGCCACTTACTTCTTATTTGTTGATACAGAAAACTTCTCTAATATATAATCATACATATTAGACACATCTATTATTTTAATCATGATCAAGAGAATGATTGACTAGGTTAAAATTAGCATTTTCAAAGTTGCTCCTGAAAGATAACCAACATGTTGAAGAATTGGAATAATTTAGAATCTGATGATCTACAATTTAGAAGCAGAGGCTGCATATGTTCTTCACATTTTTTTTGTTTCTCTTAAAAACATTGACTGTGTTTTTTTAAAATTTTGCAAATCTTATAGCTAAAACAGCACATGCATGTTTATATAAATGAAATAACAATTGAGATTGTTATATCCCTCTACCAACCTGTATCCTTCTACCAAAGACAAAGACAAGTGAAAGCTAAAGAAAGGTAACAACCCTCTCAAAAGCAGATGGAAGAAAATACTGATGTTTCTGTGAGTTGTAAACTTCATTTAGAATGAGCATTTTCGTGGTTACTGTCCTGAGTGTCCTCATATCATGTACTGAACTGTCTCAGGTAAGATCTAAACGATCCTGACCATCCTGTGTTCAGACAAGTGGCTTCTGGAAAAAGAGAATCAGCCTCTGTAGCATCAGGGTGGAATCACAGGGCAGCATCAGAGATCAAGATAGCAAGCCACAGACCCAATTTGAATGCTGAAATTACTTAGTTCACTGAGACTGTCTGGATGCCAGTAGAAGACATGTTTGATATTTACAGAGGCTGTGAAGGAAGGTTTTGTGATTTAAAAGAGTGCAGAGTTGTCAAAGCAGGTTTAACAGGGCTACAGAAGTGACGTGAAAATGGATGGAGCATTTGTATATAATCTGGGCACTTGACTGATTTCTGCTATATTGGCAAAAAAAATCAATGGTAGTAATTCCTTTTTTAGCTCATAATGTCTATTCATTTGCAAATTTGTTTCTGGGAAAGTTTGAATTTTGGCTTTCTTGAAATGAATTTTTATTCTGCACAAAGGTCATTCTAAAATGTCAACCATCATGCGGTAGTTGCCTGTGCTTCCTCTCTTTATTTTTTTCTTAATGTCTGGAAGAATATTTCCCAGGATTGTTTTGGAGATCAAAATAGTGTTTGGGGGTGATGGGAAAATCTTGTTCTTTGAAACCGTAGGGTTTGAGCAAAATGTAGAGTACTGTTACATAGAAAAATTAGATTGTTCTGTGATTCAACTGTGACCTTTATTAAGTGATTAACAGATTGTCTGCTGGAGGAGGTCAGCTCTTTCTCAGGCATTTACTAAGAAGAACTGAGTGTTGCTCTGGCAGTTACATTTTTTTTATTAGACTTCAAAATCATTGTGGTCTCAAAGAACACCAGAATTAATGCCAATTCTGTCTAAGTAATACAGATACAAGAAATTTATATATAATATATTATATATGTCTGTTTATTTCTATGCAACTTCCAAAATGAACCCAAGGGCAGCTCAATAGTCACACTTTTGAATGCTTCATTTGAAAAGTAAATTATTCTTATTCATGTTCAATAAAGAGATCTCTGGTTGAGGCAAAGTTACCAAAGCATCTAGTTGGCAATGGTGGCACCAACAGGGAAGATGCATTATAGACATCACTCACCAGCAAAGCTTCTTAACATGACTTCACATTGTGAGGCTCTTAATTAGCATCGTCTCCTCCCCACAACAGATGAAATAGCAACCTACAAACACATTTAGAAGGAACCTACAGCTGAGATGAGAAGTCTCTAAACAGGCATCCACCTGACTCCATGTTAATTATATTTGGGTCTTTCCACCACGGAAATGTCACACAGCTGTGCGGTAGTTTAACGAAGGAAACTGCAAAATTTTAAGTTCTAAAGGACCTCAGTGATCCACTGCTGTTAAGGACAGTGCGAGATGAACTCTTTGGCTCATACAGCATTTAGATATAATTTTTCTTTTTTTTCTCAGACACAGCACATATTAGTGTGTGATAATGGACATCTATTTAAAAGCCATTGTTGCCATATATAAAATAGAAACAACATTAATATGAACTAATAATGAAGATAGCACTAAACTGCCTTGCCTACCAGACTGGAAAGTATTCAACTTACATAGCAGAATGAGCTGTTGTAAACAAACAAACAATAAAAAATAAGATTACAGCATAACATTAAGGTGTTTAGCGTCATTTTATGCTTTCATCATTTAATAACCCCAAATCAAGAAATTTATTGCCATGAAAGGACACTTGTTAGTTTAACAGCAAGGCCATCCAAAAGTCTACTGAGGTGGCAGAGATAATACTGTTTAAGATGATCCCTTAAATGAAGTAAGGTCAAATAAAAGTACTTTAATTTTGAAAATGCGCTCAAGCACAGAGGAATCGGCAGGCACACTATAAAAGCCACTGATATACTGAAGGTTTGGGGAGACAGCGGTAGGTAAGACTGAGTGTTGCTCATGTACAATAACAGCGCTTGGTTCCCAGCACCCACTTTGGGCAATTTACAACTTCCCTAACTCCAGTTCCAGATAACCTGACACTCTCACTGGCTTCCTCCAGTACTGCACTCCCATATATAGAGAGGATAAGCAAACAACAAAGAATAGAGAGGAAACAGAACTTGGACTGGTGAGATAGATGACTTCATTGTTAAAAAGTTTGTGTTCATTTCTGGCATTGTTAAAAAGTTTGTGTTCATTTCTGGCATCCACGGATATCAGTAAAGTTAAGTGCTCAGATTACATACAAATGCTCCATACATTTTCACATTGCTTCGGCAGCACCGTTGAACCTGGTTTGACAACTCTGCACTTTTTTAAAAATCACAAAACTGGCAGTCGCCGCTGTCCTCCGTTGCCTCTTCCTGCAGCCATGATCAACCCCACTGTGTTCTTTGACATCACGGCAGATGGTGAGCCTTTGGGCCGCATCTCCTTCAAACTTTTTTCAGACAAAGTTCCAAAGACAGCAGAAAACTTTCCCTCTCTGAGCACTGGAGAGAAAGAATTTGGATATAAGGGTTCCTCCTTTCACAGACTTACCCCAGGATTCACGTGCCAGGGTGGTGACTTCACACGCCATAATGACACCGGCGGCAGCTCCTTCTATGGAGAGAAAATTGAGGATGAGAACTTCATCCTGAAGCATACAGGTCCTTGCATCTTGTCCGTGGCAAATGCTGAACCAAACACAAATGGTTCCCAATTTATCTGCACCGCTGAGTGGCTGGAAGGCAAACATGTGGTCTTTGGGAAGGTGAAAGAAGGCATGAACATTATGGAATCTGTGGAGAGTTTCGGGTCCAGGAATGGGATCACCATTTCCAACTGTGGGCAACTCTAATTCTTTTGACTTGAGGGCTTCTTACCTACCAGATTATTCCTTCTGTAGCTCAGGAGAGCATTCCTCTCCACCCCGTACCACATCAGTGCACAATGCCCTGTAATCACTGAAATTCTTTGGGTTCTATATTTTCCTCATACCCTCCAAGTCTAGCTGAATTGCAGAGTTAAGTTTATGATTATGAATAAAAATTAAGTAAAAACAAAACAAAAAATGAAAAAATCCTCCATCACAGCCTCCGTAAATACCAAAGATGTCTTCTGCCAGTATCCAGACTCTCTCAGTGAATTTAGTAATTTAAACATTTCAAATCACAGCCACCTGTAACTCCAGTTCCGGGGGAATCTAATGCCATCTTCTTGTCTCTATGGCCAACTGCACTCATGTGCAAATGCACATATGTATGCATGATTAAGAATAAAATGTGGTTTATTGAAAAAGAAGGAACAAATTTGGAAAAGAAATAGAAAGTAAACATAGGACCATTGTAATTTAAGGAGTTCAGTTGATTAGACACTATAAAAGAAAACATTTGAGATGAACTATATGTAAAATACATGTAAAATACAGTGAGGACAATTAGGTGTTACCATTGTTCATTAAAAATCGTCTTCCCTTTACTATTATCTCTGTTTTTTTCCCTTTATTTTTCCAAGTATTTTTAATCCCCTGCATTGTGGACTAGAGTAACAAACACAACTGACAAAATTTCAACTCTGATGAACCTCAGAGTGTACTATGTTTCTTCTAAGGAGTTATAATTGGAACTTGGAGGATGACAGAATAATGATAGTTTTTGTTTGGAAATTAGGAAGGGCCGTTAAAGGAGGTGAATCTTTAGCTTAAATTAGATTCCCAAGAAAGAATCAACCATGTGAAGATTATAAATTTTCTAATTAAGGAAATCAATTAGCACAAGGGAAATATGAGCCATACAATTTAAGCAAATGAAATAAGGTGGCTGTGGCTGGGAAGGGTTGCCATTATGCTTGAAACACTGAGCAGCCACATAAAGAAGATGACTTTGAGGTGACTTTATCTAGTCTGCTTTGTATTTCAAAGAAATCTGCTATGTGAAAAACGAATTTTAAGCAGAATAAATTGGGTTGGCAGTGATAGAGGTATGAGGTAGTGTCATTGATGGGGTGGTAGGAGCAATAGTTCAATTGATGGATTCGTGGGTTTTGGACTAAAGTAGTGAGTAGAAATGATGATACATGGACAAGTTTTGAAAACGTTTAAAAAGAAGAGATGCCAGAAGTTTCTGATTGGTAGAAATGGAGTTGTGGAAAAGGTAGGGACTTCAACAACTCCAGCATTCAGAGATTAGTCCACTTAGGATTCTTATGATATTTATTACCCATATACCCTCTGCATAAGACTTTCCATAGATCGAAAGATCAATTCTCCCTGTGACCAAACTTTTCTTCTTTATGCATCACTGATAGTTATAAAGTTCTTCTCAGAGATTTGACTCATTTTTTACACTCTTTCCTAATAAATCATGCAGTTTATTTTTAATCATTATGTTTTAATTCTATTTAATTCAGGTTATCTTTCCCTTAGACAAATATAATTAATCTTAATTGCTAAGAACTATTAAGATTCTATTTGTATAGCACTGGGGTTTATGATTCAATATTTTGAGTGTTTAATAATTTACATTTGTTCTAGATTTCTTACCAGACTTTCTTGTCTACAGTGCTCAGTGCTTCCTGGGTTACAAGATTATTTCTGAAATCAGCCTGGTACTGAACAATACTTTTCCAGGCAGTCCTTGGCCCTGTTCTTCCCTCTTAATTGCTCTGAGTTCCTGTCTTCACACATATGTTCTATTTATCAATATGCTCAAAATAGAAATCAGTAGCCAAATCCTAAGTCATGTACAAATTATTCCTTTCATGCATTCATTTAAAAATGTAACCAGTTGAGTTTCAGTATAGCTGACCTTTAATATTATCTCTATCTTAGTTCTTTTTTAGTCTTTTCTTTTTCCTACAGTTTATTGCTGATGCACAGATAATGATTCACGGGACCAAGCACAAATACAGGTTAAATATATTTTATTTCTGGACGAAATCACTTACATAAGAAGCAGATGGCCACCACAGGTTCCCAAATGGGCGTGGTCAGTGCTACAAGCGTGGGCAGGGTGGATATCTCACTACAATTTATTTATTCTCTCTTTTTTTTTTTGTTTTTCGAGACAGGGTTTCTCTGTATTGTTTTGGAGGCTGTCGGTCCAGCCTGGCCTCGAACTCACAGAGATCCTCCTGCCTCTGCCTCCCAAGTGCTGGGATTAAAGGCGTGTGCCACCACCGCCCGGCTTATTTATTGTTTTAAATTTTATTTTACATTCCAACCACAGTTCTCCCTTCCACCCCTGCCACTCCTCTTGCCTTCCCCCAAGCCCATCCCTAGTCCACTCCTCCTCAAGGGTAAGGGTTTCCAAGAGGAGTCAACAAAGTCTGGCACAATAGATTAGGTCAGGGCAAGGCCCCTCTCCCATTCATTAAGACTCCAACAAGGGAATGGTCTCCAACAAACTGTCTCATGTAACAGGCTTGTACCATGGTCCTCCTTCCAGGGGCCCCTCAGATAGTACAAGCTTCATAACTGTCTCCCGCATACAGAGGACCTAGGTCTGTGGCCTCAAATCTCCACAACAGCTGTCTGTCTAGAATTCATGAGTTTCCATGAGCTTGGTTCAGCTATCTCTATATTCTCCATCGTGATGTTGACCTCCCTTGTTCATGTTTTCCCTCCCTGCTCTCTTCAGCTGTTTTCCTGGAGCTCAGACTGGTGCTTGGTTGTGGGTCCAGGCAAAACGTTAAAAGAATTCAATAATTTATCTTAAAACCAGTATACTCCAATTGTATTCAAACATGATAAGGAATATAAGATGCCCAATGTATACATTTGAATACAGTGTATAAGTAACTGGAAAAAGTGATAGATGAAACAATTTTTGAGTTATAACCCAAATGAAGACAGTTTCTCATTACCAAAGTTAATTGTAATTATTTCTCTAATTTCTTAATGGTAAAGCTCATTAAAATGAAATAATCAGAGTTAATATTTCGTGCATAATTTGGAACATTTGTTGATTTATTTCTAATCCTTCTGTTACATAACCAAGTTCCAAACATGCAAAAATTAACTGTCATGGTTAATGGGAATTACCAATTTCAGTTCCCCAAAATGCAGTATTTTATGCCAATTTTTAACCTTGTTGTTGGATCATTAAGATATTCACAGATGCTTCAGCTTTATAAGGGTAACCCTTTTTTCATAAAATTTAGAGTTGAAATTTCTCTTAGTTACTGGAACTTCTTAGGGGGAACAGATATATATTTGTACCTGGCGACACTTCCCAGTAAGTAGGTTTTCAGTTTTCCATTGTTGCTTTGTATTTTGCTTCTGGAATATTTCTTTTTTCTGCCTGTTGTCAGTCTCAAAGTGAAACCAATCCCTTCTTCTCTAATCCCCACTTTAAGTAGTTGTAACAAGGAAATTTTATGTAATACATGACTAGAATGGAAAGACATGAAGTACAGATAATATGATTGTATTTAAGTGTCACTATTTTTTATATCTTTTTTGAAGTTTAGGAAGGAATTCTTACATTTTTCTCTGTTTATGCTTTCCAGATTTTCTGCAACTGCTCCGCTCCCTTGTTCTTTCTCAAGATTTATATATTTCTTCTGTCCTTCTTCTTCTTCTTCTTCTTCTTCTTCTTCTTCTTCTTCTTCTTCTTCTTCTTCTTCTTCTTCTTCTTCCTCTTCCTCTTCCTCTTCCTCTTCCTCTTCTCCCTCTCCCTCTCCCTCTCCCTCTCCCTCTCCTCCTCCTCCTCCTCCTCCTCCTCCTCCTCCTCCTCCTCCTTCTTCTTCTTCTTCTTCTTTTCTTTTAAGAAAAGGTTTCTTGGATGTTCTGGAGCTAGCTCTGTAGACCAGGCTGGCCTCAAACTCACAGAGTTCTGCCTGCCTCTTTCTCTGGAATATTAGGATTATAGATGTGTGACCCCACTGACCAGTTCTTCATGATTCCTTAACCTTAAGCCCTTTCTTAGCTGTTCCCATGAACTCTATCTACACTGATTGGCAGCCTAAGCTAACTTAGACTTTTTATTTTTCTATATGCAAACAGTCTAATTTTATGTCTTTGGCTTTTCAGATTAAGATCCAGTACCTTTGTACACATTCTGCTTGACTTATTTTTACTTACTTTTTCAACAGCTGTTTATTTTGGGAACTGAAAGTTGGTCTAGCAAAATTTTAAAACATACAACAGAAGCAGATGACCCAAGAGAAATAATTCACTTGTTTTCATAAATGCTGTTTGCCTACAGAATATGCAAATATTTAGCAAAGGTAGTTTGGAAGGTAGTGGTGGGCCTCTCCATATCAAATACAGTTGTGTGCTTAAAAGTCTTATTTGGATATAGGGGTGAAGTGGGATTTTTGAGGGAAGCAATGTTGAAGCAGAACCCAGGGTACGTTTATTATGTACTGGATGGAGTCACCTAGATAATGACAGTCACAAAGGGGGGATTGAAGAGGAAGAGAATTAAGTTTGTCAGCTTTTCAAGCCATGGGAGGTGAGCTTTGCAAGAGAGGTTGTGGGCTAGGGAAAGGAGGAAAGGTGTCAAAAGTTGAAGGGATCAAGATGAACATGACAGTTTCTAAGAGGTAACTCTCTTTGAAGAGTTTCATTTAAGGAAGAAAGTCTGAAGTCACTTTGCTTGATTTTATTGGGTGAGTGGGAAGTGAACCCAAGGATAGTGTTGTGAAAGTTTTCTATTACAAGAATTGTTCAGAGAATGAAATAGAAAGAAGGAAATTTCCTTGTTTTTATGCACAGTCTTTAATAATAAGAAACCAGGACTTTTCCTGTCCCGACCCGCAGGACACTCATCGTGGATCTGGTGGACACCTAGGAAAAACATGGGGGTACAGGGGATACAAGTACGGACACCAAGACAAGAGTCTGATCAAGGCAACACCTTTATTCATCCCAAAGGGATTTTTATAGGGGACGGGAAGAGGGGAAGGAATGGGGGATGTGCTGTAGCTGCAATGAACCTGGCGGAGCGGAAGGTCAATGGGATGGGTAGGTCATCCTGTGTCCTCTGGTAACCTAACTGCAGACTCTAACTTTATCTTTCACATTCCACCTTCTGTTAAGCCCACATCCTAGATAAGCCGCAGGTCTGTTTCTGGGATTTGGCAGGTAGCAGGGTGGTCCCGCGTCACGTACTTTCTATGAGGGTCTTTTCTTATGAGTACGTGACGTACCTGGTTGATGGCCGGAGGTCCCTGATGTTTTCCTAAAGAAAACTCTTCAAGAGTATATTGACTGGCATGAAAGTAAACTTGAGATGCTCAGAAGCTCAATAACATAAAAATAACAAAGAAAAAGGGAAAGAAATAACAAAGGAAAGTTATTTAAGAAGGCAAACATACTCACTGCTGAGGTGCTGGTCCTGAATTGCAAGGGAGCATCACATGTCAGTTATGCTGAATGAACGTGAA